AACTTATTGGATGGTATAATAATAACAATGCAGCAAAACCTACACGTAAAATTGCTGGGCATCGTTTATTAAGCTCTTCTATGGGCTCCTGGACACGTTGAAGCAGATGGCGCGCCCAGTGAATTTTTCCAGCGACAGGCGTCAAATTTCGCTCGATTGGGGGGTCGTCCTTTTGTCGTTCGTACACATTTCGAGTGTGCTCGAGTTCACGTGAAATAGTTTTGAGGACTAATGTGTACATTCCCATCAAGTCAATCCGGGTGCTTTTCAAACGGTCAAAATAGCTCAAGAGGCGCAACTGCTTGCAGGCCTAAAAAGTAGAAAAAACACCTAAATAACCACCGCTACTTACATAATTTAAGTAGCCCAATTTAATGACAACGTAGTAACGTACCGAGGATGGTCGAGAGAACGATTTATTCAGAAACTCGGATAACTGAATTTCCATTCCATCGCGCTGATTCATAAACTCTTCGTAATCGACATTGAACTTAAGCGGAGTGTGGAAGAAAATTGCATTTTTACATGAGAGAAAAATAATTACTTGGCTGCAGTTTCCATACCCTGGACAGCTGAGAAAACTGACATTAATCGAAATCAAAGATCTTCCTCTGGGTAGATTTTCTTTTCACAAAAAAGGATAACGCTTATATGACATGTAGGACAATGGATATCGTATAAGATGTTTGATAGTATTTATTATAGTTTGAAAAAGGTAAAAAAACATCACAAAATCGAATAGAGTCGACGCAGCACCTCTTTACTTATTCAGTGACCTCCTTTTTAAAGATGACTTTTCAAATAGGAGTTTTTAGATGCTCCCGCATTTCCGTATAACGAAAACCGTTCGTCCCTAGCGTAATAGTCCATAAATTGCAGGATGAATCAGTGTGTTCACGAAAGTGAAAGAACTTATAAAGCAATTCAAACTGACGGAAGATGTAGTCAACTTCAGGTTTTGGTAGAAATGTGACATGCCTTCAAAATCTAGTTCTTTTTTATCTTTCCAATAGTTCCTGACGAAATTCGACTTGGTAGTTTAGCATATATATGGTCACGTTATTTAGATCAACTGAGTGGATTAAACCCTGGGAAAGACCTTTAGGTGGGAAAATCGCCCTTCTTTAGGTCTATTAAGAGTGATGAGAATTAATTTTGGCGAACTTGAAAGTAGTCCCATATAGAAGGAATTTCCTATACTATTATGCATGCCAGAACCATACTTTTCATTACTGTGCATTGTGCAATGGAAGAAATCTAAAATAATAAAGGGAAGTTTAAAACATATCCCCACCAGAACCGGAAAACGTAGTTCAAAGTTGCTCAAATGTAAGTGAAGCAATTTTAAGGAATTCCATTTATTCCCAGAAACTAGGAACAATTTCAGTTTTAGAAATGATTTTTTGCTTAAACTGTGAAGTTTTTGGCACAAAATGCAGTAAAAATGTTTTGAGCGCAATTTCTTTCACTGTATCAAGTTTTCGAAGGACGTTAGCAAAGCTGTTCAGATAGTACCACGAACATTTAGATTTTGTACATACAACGGCGTACAACTATTTGATAGTCAGATCTGCTTACCTCTTTTTTGCTCTGATCAGTGGGATCGTAGGATCGCTTCTTCATTTTATCCTGCATCCCCTTGTAGGTGGACACAACTGACTCCAAGTTCTCGATCTTCATCTTCAGCAATGGCGCGTAGTCTTCCACAATAGTAGCCAGGTCTTCAATTTTTTTCAGGCGATTACAGAACGTGTCGAATTTTCCAAAAATGTAATTCTCACTGATTAAAAACGGATAAGTAGCAAGGTTACGTAAGCTGAAAAAACAATATGCAGACGGTCAAATAGCGAGGATGGGACGTGGGCTCACCTAACCTCGAATTGCGGATGCTCGGGATCCTCCTTTAACTTTGCCTTCACCTTCCGGAAGCAGGATTGGTAGGTGGCGTTCAGTTGGATGCATGCCTCAATTCGCTGGCTTAGTTCTGGCCTGAAGATAGGGCGTTAAGGAATACTGAAAATGCCTTCTATAAGTGGCCGCATGTACGCAAATTGCCTCGATTGGTCATTTTGTGCAAGCATGGAAAACGTACTGCATGAAATTGGGCTAATTTGTGATAATTCAGCTTTTTCATTTCACTAGGATTCATAAAAGGCTGCAGGGTATTCAACTAATACCTGACGAAGTGATGGTATCTTTCGATGTGACCTCACTTTTCACCTCAATACCGTAACATCTTGCGGTTGAGACCATCAAAACCCCGGTAGAAGAGAAGTAAAACGAGACGGGCACGAAGCTCAAAATAAGGCATCTTACTGGACTCCCGATTCGCTGCTTGAGCACCTTTTTCACCTTCAATGGAACGGTGTATGAACAAGTAAAAGGTACACCAATGGGATCGCCATTATCTGGTCTGATTGCCGAAGCAGTACTACAACGACTGGAGGCACTGGCTTTCGAACACTATCGACGGGCTTTAGTATGTTGATAACACGTTTTTCATCATTCGTCGAGACGAGTTTGGGGATTTCACAGAGAATCTGAACTCGATATTCCCCGACATCCAGTTCATGATGGAGGAAGAAAAATATTGCCAGTTGCCTTTCCTCGACGTGCTGGTGTGCAGAAAAGACGGTGGGGAACT